GGCATTACACACAAATATTGCCTTGCCTTTGCTGAGAATGATGCAACTAGTTGTTACAGGAAGCTTAAACTTCTTAATTTTTGTTAATTGTTAAACATTAGTAGATTTTTAAATGAAGCCACGACTGAAATTAATCATTCAAGTTTCACTTTTTTCTCAAATTCCTTATTGTTATTTTCATGTTACCGTATTTGCTCTATTAGAAGCGCATCCCAAATAGAAGCGCATATAAAGTTGCGTTGACTGTACTGAAGCATTAAAATATTACTTATTTTGACTATAGAAAAAACTTTGTAATTTACGTAAGTATATGCATTAATAATGGAGCAAATACGGTACGACGGTTAAACCATTAATTAGAGTATATCTACATCCTAACATGTAAATAAAATACAGGAAAAAAAGAATACTATGAACACTATGCATAAAATCAAATAACACTTTCCAATACCTATACTAAACCTAAAATAATATAATAATACAGCAGCGATGGATACCATAAATCAGTTAACTACCAGTAGTTATTTAACAGATTGCTTTTTTTTCGTCATTTATAAAGCGATCTCAGAAAAATACTAGTGAAAAAGCCAAGTCCAAGTTATACATTTCAGATGGATTTTTTCCCCTCTTAGTTCACATGCTGTAAAATTGCCAAACAAACCTCGCATATAAACTTGCATCAGCTCAGAAACCCACAGAAAGTATTCTACATACAGTACCCCCCTCCAAAAAAAAAAAAAAAAAGAAAACAAAATTGCACTGTACATATAGTTTACAACTCTGTAAGAGAAAAAGAAATCATAACTATTTTTAAGAAATTTTGAATTCTTGAAAACTGGCTTTTTTGAATGCATTTTTAGAAAGAATTTCTAAAAAAAAAAACTATGCTTATTAAATAATGAGACATTTTGAAATAATGTTTCTTTTAAATCATATACAACTGTCCTTTTATTGTCACATAATATACTAAGTGACAGACGAAAAGTGAGTGCTGTTGAAATCTTTTGTGGAAATATACACCATAAGAACTAAACTGATTGGGTGTGTGAGTGTATAAACTTGGTTGATTTTAGTGTTGATGGCGCTGTTTGTGCATTCTTGCATAAGCTAAGAATTTTGGGACACAGTAAGCTCATTACCATCATTAGGTATTTATTGGATCAGAATATTATACTTGCCACGAGAATCAAACAACAATACAACCTCACAAATTGTTGGTGTGGGCCAATCACTTCACCACTGTACAATTTGCATATTATTTCAACTTTCTCAGCTATCTATTTTGGGAATAATTTTTACAGCACGAATTTACCGAGAATAATTCCAAAGAGAAGTGCTAATATTAAATAAAGAACGGGTGGAAATCCAGACGACTGTGCTTGTTTCGTGACAGGACTAGGGAAGCTTTCTTGTGTATCTGCAGTAGCTGTTCTGCGTTTGTGAACACCGTCATCCTAGAAACAGAAAAAAATTACAAATATAATTGTGAAGTACATAATTTCTAACATGGCTGGGCCATTTTTACCAATCATATCACAGGATGGCTGCCAGTCGACGATTTTGAATTAAATTCACACCAGTGGTGAAGTTTATATCAAATTTGAATGAAATCGGCACAGACATTGCTTGAGAAATAGTTGACATGAAAATAGCCACCAGATGGCTAAATTTCACTGAAATTAAAAAATAAATGAGAACAAAATGGCCACCAGTCAGCCAGTTTGAAGCAAACCACGAGACAAAAGTTGTGTCAATACCAAGTTTGAACAAAATTGATCCAGGCATGTCTGAGTAATTACAAAGGGCGGACAGAACTCAAACCACGAGTTGTTGTTTTGATCTGCATCAAGGCGCCATATGCTAATCGACAATTACGTGAATAATTTGCGATTGGCTGTCAGCCAAGCAAAAAAATATCTTAACGTCAATAAACTGTGTACAATTATTTTTAAGAAGTGGTGATTTCCGGAACTACAGCCGTTTTCTCCACAGAATGGAGATAATTTTTCCCTCCAAGGTTGCAGTTTCCCGAAAAATTAATCAAATATATGTAAGATCATGATTTTCTTTTTCTTCTGCTCCATGGTTAGGTCAACAACAATCTGCATGCGACTTTAAAATACACAATCAATCGTTTAGCTTTCTTGTCAGTCTTGAGACTTTCCTTTCAATTTCTTTGTTTCACACACACGCCAAAAATGCTATAAAAAGAAACAATTCACTGTGTCTGACACTGGGTTTACATTTTTGACAACCTACATGTTTACCGGCAACATATACGTCTCAGGCACAACATTTTGATTTTGAAAATTGGCGTTGGGAACATTTCTCGAGTC